GGATCCCCTTAACACGGCTCAGACGGCCCATGCAGGCTATCTGAAGGGTCTTCGCAGACATGTAGCGCAGCCCCCCCCACCAAAATCGAGGCAGGCAGTGAATATGAAATAGAGCACGAGCTGGCCGAATATATACTCAAGATTCGAATTCAGGTCTGTGTTTCAGCAGTTACGGGTTGCTCACGTAGTTAGGGCCTGTTGGTGTCTGCACGTGACTCTTAGGGCTTGGCTGCACTACTCACGAAACGTGCAAAATTAGAATGAATCTTCTGCAGAACGTGGAATAATATGCCACCATATGTTTTGTCTTTTGTGCATTTGGTGAGTAAAGGCCCTTAGGGCCACTGCACGTATTCCTAAGAAAAGAAAAACGAGAAAAGAAAAGAAAAGAGAGAAAACAGAGAAATGGTGACCCGTAACCGACATGCAGACCTGAATTCGAATCCAGACTATATATTCTCTGCCCACCCTCAGGTAGTACAAGTTTGAAGTGTATCTCTGCATGACGTCGGGTCCTAGCTAATATGCTGTAGGGATCCTTCCGAAAAGTGGCTGGACACAACTAGGACGTTTTTGTTTTTCTATTTCTTTAATGCGCCGCATCACTTGTGCGTGTGCGCGTGCATGTGCGTGCGTCACCCCGCGCATGAGATGCGCTGCAAGTATGATTCGAACCTCTCTCTCTCTCTCTCTCTCTCACACACACACACACACACACACACACACACACAAACACACACACAAAGGGGGTCCGAAATCCCCCGACAGGTGAGTGCGCTGAGGGGGCCCGGCCCCCAACCGGGTGCCCTGCCCGGCCAGACCGCCCGGGACCTCCCCCGGGCCCCTGCCGGTCACCCCGGCGGGCCGGATCCCCACTCAGATTTTTATTTCTTTATTTCTTTTTGGTCTGGCCGGGCAAGTGGTCCCGGGCCACTCTGGTAGGCTAGCAAGAGTCTACCCAAAAAAAAAAAAAAAAAAAAATCATAAAGGGAACAGTACTGAACACCCCCACACCGAATAAGTGCAAACCTCTGATACCCCTAAACCCTAAACCAACCCTAAACGCTAAACCCTAAACCCAACCCTAAAACGCAACCCTAAACTGTTGCCCAAAACCCCCCTAAACCCTAAACCAAACCTAAACCCTAAACCCAACCCTAAAACGTGACCCTAAACTGTTGCCCAAAACCCATAGCTAGAGCTTTTTTATTTAGTACACACCAGGGTTGCCAGGCCGAACGTACGGAGGCCCCTAAGCTGACCCCCGAACGTTCGGGCGTTCGGGTCCCCGTACGGGGCCCGAACTCGAAGGGGTTCGGACCCCGCAAAAAGATATTTTGGTACCTAAAAATTATTTTTTTTTTCTGATTTTTTTTTTGTGAGTTCTCTGTTATGTAAGCTACCTGTCTCTCAATTTTGAAGTCATTCTGTGGAGCCAAACAATAATGAAAAAT